GCATTTCGCTACGACCAATGCGCTCCACTGCGGATTTCTTCGGCGAGGGGTCACCAAGCCCATGTCAGTGGTTGGGCATGTGCGGTGCTTCTGCGCTCAGCCCTGAACCCATTTAAAGCAAAAAGGCTGCACAAGAGTCAAAGGGAGGAGATGTAAACCCTGCACAAAAGTTCAAGGGAGGAGATGTGCTCGCGCGGGAAGTCCAGCTTCTCCAGATTTCTTGACGGCATTCGGGTTGCTTTGCCTGTAGTAGAGAGTGCGGATGCTGGAGCTGAAAAAATGTGGCATGGGCTGTTTGATCCAGGCGAACCGAGGTTGTATGCGCACGTTGCAACCTGAATCTGTATGTATGTTTTGGAGTGGCAGGGAACGGTGCATACGTGATTCTTTGGCATGCATCTCTTCCCGAAAAGAAAACCGAACCTTTCAACCCAGCGCGGGGTGTCTCCCTAAACCCTAACCGTAACCCTTAACCCTAAACCCTAAACTAAACCCAAAGCTTCGACTCAAGGCTACGACCCATCGCGGAATCCCGACTCTGAAGGCGCCAGTTCAAGCAGGCAAAGAGCCAGCTTCAGCAAGGTGGGCTGAACTCTTTGCCACTCTCACATGCGAGGGCAGAGCATGATGCGTATTCCGCTACGGTATTTCAGGGGCTTCGAGCAAGCAGGGGCTGTAAAAGGAACAGGGTTGTGCATGTGAATGTACATCATTTCAGGTGTTGACCGTCGCCGACATGATGTTTCTAGCAGGAAACCAATGCAGCAAGCGCGGCTTTGCATGTCAAATCACACACATGATGAGTTTGGGGGTGGCAACTTCTTCTAACGTGGTTCCTATTGTAAATTCCAAGCAGACAAGCTGCGCACGCAAGCGTTTGGCTTTGTCCAGAGCAACGCCTGCAATGTCGTCATCAGTTTCCCCCCCTCCCCCCACCCCCCAAAACACGAAATCCTGAAAGGCACCTGAAACAGCACGGCGGAATGCGCACCGTCGACCAACGACTGTGAAATTCGACGTCTTCAGCCGAACTGGGGAAGCAACCGAAGTTGGAAGCCCTGCAGTCCGTATGGAAACCATCCATCACCCTGCACAAACAACAGGTGCTAGGAGTGAACAGCAGTGCATTTAGGCCAGACGAGTGGTGGGTTTAGTACTAGTGCTCAAGATCTTGTCAGGGGCGGTCTTTGGGATGTATAGTGCTGGGTTCGACAGCCTTGCCAAGCTTAAAAACCCAAAGGCGACGGATAGCGAGGATGATTCGCTTTGCTACTCCGCCTCTCTGGTGAAGTGCCCCAGCCTCAGCTTCCTATCGCCCATGACTACTGTATGGGTTTCTGCTCCGTGCCCGTCATATCTGAGCTAACAATGACAGCTCATCCTGCGCCCCAAGATGAAGCAACAATCTAATCGAACAAGCTGCAAGTGCCAACGTTGCAGGCCGGATCTGTGAATGTTGCCAACATCACCAGAGCAGGTCTCAAAGTTCATCCATGATGAGCCCCTCCTAAAGCCAAAAATGGCCTTCCATTGTTCATGGGTTCTGTAGCCACCATGAGTGCGAAGGGTGTTGGCATGATTGGAATTTGCCACCACCGGCTGTAGAAGCTGCTCTAACCCTGACGCTTACTCATCCTTCACTTTCCGAGGCATGGACGAGATTGACCGTAACTCAGATGCTACGACGCGATTTCGACGGCTTGAGCCAGATGAAAGATCGATCAAGGCGAAATGCCGCGACTCCGAGGCAGGATCCAAGGAAACCATGAACTCAACCCTAAACCCTAAACCCGAAACCCGAAACTTTAACCTTGACCTCCTAGCTATCCCCTCTTGCTGGCCTGTGGGTGCTTGAGGTACAGGTCAACCTGGTTAGCTTGGACTTAGCGAGCCAAGCCACACAGACAGACTTGCACTTCTTGACGCTTGGCGACGAGATTTGGGGGGGCATTATAGACTCTACCCAAATACATAACCACATGAAGCATCATGTGTTCTGTATCGCAGAAATATACGTACGAAGTATTAAGTTGATTGTACTACACGATGCTTCATACAAGGTTGTGTATCTTTTGCATTGTGTGTCAATTATACTAGGTTTTGTACACTTTACATTTCTACTACCTGTTATGCATTATGCATTATGTTTGTAATAACATATGATATATTTCATACTATATTGAAGATTGTGATATTGTCATTTTCGAGATATTTCCCAAAAGTTCGTTGCAAAGGGCTTGTCGCACATGTTACCTTATAGCATATATCTTAGAACTTGTATCTTGTACCTTATGCAATATCTATATACATATGTATACATGTATAAACATATACACACACACACACATATATATATATATATACATATACATATACATGTACATATACATGCATATACATACACATACATATATATACACATATATATATATATGCATATATATGTATATATATATATATATGTGCATCTCGAACGAACATGGTATTGTACATGGTACAAGTATATTGCTTCTTTATCCTGCTTTTCCCCCAAAAAGTCTGCTGTTGGGGTTCTAAATTCATTTTAGGATTGCCGACATTCTGAGGACTGTTGCCGGGTTCCTGGGCTCCTTGTCTCCCTTTGTCTCCCTTTGTCTCCCTTGTCTCCCTTCATGTGGTTGGCTTTGCCGGGTTGCTGTGCCCCTTTGTCTCCCTTCGTCTCCTTTTGTCTCGTCGTCTCCACTGTTGCTTCGACGTTCCTTTGACTGTTTGGGGTCTTCGGTGGTGTAATTGTTATGCTTCATATGTTTGTATTGTACTTGGTATTTTAATGTTACATGTTATGCATGAAATGTTATATGTTGTATGACATATGTTCTGTGTTGTATGTTATTATATGTTATTATATGTTATTATATGTTATTATATGTTATTATATGTTATTATATGTTATTATATGTTATTATATGTTATTATATGTGATTATATGTTTATATATGTTATCATCTGTTGTTATATGTTGTTATATGTTATTATGTGTTGTTATATGTCAGTATATGTGATTATATGTTATTATATGTTGCTATATGTTATTATATGTTATTATATGTTACTATATGTTATTATATGTTATTATATGTTGTTATATGTTATTATATGTTACTATATGTATCTATATGTTATGTTCTATATTTCTGTTATATGCTTTGTGTTATCTTTTGAAATGGTGAAAGTACATACATACATATATATATATATAGGTGTGTGTATAAGGTATACATATATGTATATATATATATATACACATATATGTATATACGTATATGTGATGTGTTGAGTTTCAGCTTCACGGCCTGGATTTCCTTTGAGCATCCGCTTGAGCGCCTTGTGAACCAAGACCAGGTCCCTCTTAAACTACACGCAGACACACACTCACACACCCACCCACACACACACACACACACCCACGCACCCACGCGCCCACACACCCATGCACCCATGAACCCACGCACCCATGCACCCACGCACCCACGTAGCCACGCACCCACCCACGCACCCACGCACTCCCGCACCCCCGCACCCACGCACCCACGCACACACGCACGCACGCACGCACGCACGCACACGCCAGCCCGCACCCACGCACACACACACACACCCACACACACACACACACACACACACACACACACACCCACACCCACACCCACACCACACCACACACACACCACCCACACAAACACCACACCCACACCCACACCCCCACCCACACCCACACCCACACCCACACCCACACCCACACCCACACCCACACCCACACCCACACCCACACCCACACCCACACCCACACCCACACCCACACCCACACCCACACCCACACCCACACCCACACCCGCACGCACGCACACACACACACACACACACATGCACACACATGCACACACATGCACACACATGCACACACACACACACATGCACGCACACGCGCACACACACACACACACTTAAGACTCGACTTCTGTCGAACTGTGAGCTCCGAAGCCCTGGCAAGCTTATGGATCTGCAATGGAAATCTGTACTCATTTTGAAACGGCCAAGGATGCAGCAACGGCTTTGAGGGTATTTTTGGGATGGCCTGCAGGTACACAGTTCAGCGTCCTGAATTGCTTCCCACTCCAAGGCATAGCTTCGTTGCACTGGGTTTGCCAAGGAGTGCCCCATGCCCCTGCACCCATGCAATGAAAAGCTGCAGAACTACAAAGCCCTTGGACACAGGGTTGGCCACACACACGCACACGCACACGCACACTCACACGCACACGCACACGCACACGCACATGCACACGCACACACACACACACACCCGCGCGAGCGCGCAACTGCAAACACCTCTCAAGACTCCACTCCTGCAAGCCCAGGGAAGATGAGCCGATTTGCTCGATGTGCATGCGAGGGCGGCCTCCTCGTCCCAAGAAGGATGCCTTGCATCCCGTACCGAAGCAGCGGAGTCGGAGTCGCACAGCTGCAGGTGCACAGGTTCAGATTTTGTGTTTGCTGGGATGAAACGGAAAGGAGTATAATCTGAACTGCGCTGCCCAGAGCGTTTGTGGTTCAGGGTTCAACAATGCACGTCAGAGAGACCTGGGGCAATACGGGTTCAACAAGTAAACAGGGCATCTCAGCAAAGCCTCAGTCGTCGCAAGTCGCAATTGAGCAGTCGGATCTGTGTGACGCAACAAAGTTGAGTCGAGTGTGCTGCTCTGTTGATGATGTGCTCTTGTCTTGTGAGCACACGCATGTTGTCATCCCGCATGCTTGAAGCTTCGAGCATGGGGTCTGGCAGAAGCTGCTTGGAGGGGATGATTAGGAACTGAAACCAAGGGCCCAAGGGTATGCCAAGCTCCGATGCATTAGGACGCACCTGGGTCCCTTAGTTATTGGTCCTAAGGTTGGCAGGGGCTTGGGTCCCTTGGTAGGGTTGGCAAATCGTCCTCTGGTCCCCTGGCGCTCTGGTGCCCTTGCTCTTGCTTGTATTTCTACACTAAACATCACCCGGGAGTTGCCATGATGACGAGCATGAACTATTTGCTCATGTCATTACGAAATACTCGTCACTTTTCTAGTCATGCCATACTCGGAACGACTACAGTTACTACTCTTCCGTTTAAAATTTATGCCTTACAAATGGTTAAGTCTTAAATTCCAACCGTATGAGTAATGAAATGTTAAGTTGCAATTTGTGCGACGCATCAGTGTATGTCAATTTTCAGGTATACTTGAACCCTGATATCTTTACTATTAATGACTCACTACTTGGCAACTTACTAGGTGTCCATACATGTGTCACCATGTATGAATTACTAGCTACGAAAAATGATTGACAGTTGCATGAACCTCAATTGCTGACTGCTACGTGCTCGCTACGGATTAACCAACACTTAATTGCTCATTATCAAGCAGGAGTTACGAGTGACCATATCATTGACTGTTAATGGTTTGCTCCTAAATACTCATATTGAATAATCATGAATACTTTTTGCAAGGTACCAATCAAGCATGTAATGTCAAGTACTCTTTGTCACATGCATAGCACATCAAAACGGTTAAACTGCATTTGGAACGGACAACATACTGTAACTGAAGATGTCCAGCCCTTGGACATACGTTACAGAAGTGTTTGGGCTTGCTTGTACGAAGCCCAAGTTATGGCTGAAAGCGTTGTTCTAGTTCTACCTTCCTGACACGTGGAAATGCTGTAACTTGCAGCATGTGGAGCCTTTGATGAACCGTAAATGCGGCAACTTCAATGGAAACAACCGCTGGAATTTGTGGCGGTTGCTGTCCGGAGATGTAGCCGGGACTCGGCAGCAGCTAGGCATGGAAGCGGCGGCGAGAGCGGGGGCGGGCGAAGGGGGGAGATGGCGCTGGAGATCATCATGGCCTTTGAGGCTGTGAAGAGCCAGGGATGCGCGATGTACAAAGTTGCCAGCCTTCGTCGCCAAATCACAAGGGTGCCAACGTTAAACAGAGACCATTTCCACCACCCGGCCGGAGGAGGTGTCGAAACCAATGTTGATTTTGGAGTGGAAAAGCATCGAATGCGATCGCTAGACTAGACTGGAGGTGCATGTTGGCACCTGTCGCAGAGAAGTACCTTTGCCGAGGTCGCTGTAGCAGCCGCAGCGATTCCAGCGACGGTTCTGCAGCCGAAGGCTCTGCAGCTCAAGAGCATTCATGTGGCGCTGTGGTGTTCGACAGCACTCCTTGCTGTTTTGGCACACAAGTTCAGGAGGTCGTCGCACCAAACGTCTTGTTCCAGCCTCTGGATCGCTTCGTGTCACAACTCCATGTTGGCCGGAAACAAGCTCAGCCCTAAGTCAGCGGACACGTTGTGAACTCTGTAGAGCAACTTCATCTTGCCTGGCCGGGGCTTGCGCTAGCACCATGTCTTTCTGCTCAGGACCTGCTTGTGTATCAACGTCTGTGATGTGGCTTTGCAAGCACTGGAACTTCAGCTACTTGTCCGTGCAGTGCTGCCCATTTCATGCCGCCCTGGGGGTTGCCTTTGAGACGCTGAAGACACAGAAGAAGGAGCCAGAGTTGGTGGGGGAGCCACTTTCAAGTCAGCAGTCTGCTGTGCTGATCTGCTTGGTGCCTGGAGTGGTTCCGACACACTGTGCGTGATTCACCGAGCATAAAGTTCGTGATTTATCCTGATTGCTTTCCTTCATCTCAAGTCCAACTTGCTTGATTCTCAACATGGCGTCAGGACCCCTGCAATCCTTTGTGGAGCCCTTTTACGGGCTGGCAGTGTGACTTCTGCACTGCAATGAACCACAGGAACTCCGAGCAATGTGACCTGTGCGGCAGTGGCAGGCAGCGGCAAGTCCTAAACAGCAGCTGCATTCAAGGGCTCTGTGGGTCTATAGTCTGATATAGTCTGATGATCCACTGACTTGACAGAGGACGCCTGGTGCGGGAGACTACTCTGGCGATCTCTCGACGATGCGTGACCATTCCTCGGAGCCCTCGATGAGCGAAGACCTAGTCATCGAGAGGTAATACAGCCAGGCAGCATTGCCGCAAGCAGCACCGGCATAGACTTGCTTCCTTTCAGGCTTTGGGTTTGCAGATTTGTTCTTGAGCCACAGAGTGCCAAAGCGCCCCAGATGTGAAGCAGGGGTCTGCAACAGGCAGGCAGGGATACTCTGAGGATGCGCTGAAGTTTCAACGCCCTGCCCAGGCACACCACTGAAATGCAAGGATGTCCTTTCGGTAGAACATGCCGTTTATTAGGAGCCGACATCCCGCAACGTGACACCTCGCTGGGCACCTCACGGTGTACCAGACCTGCGCAACTGCTTGCGGCACCGAAAAGCAGTGACCGGAGCATCTTGGAGTCGCAACCTCATGGCTCTTGTAGGGAATTAGGGGAGCGGGGGCCTAGTGTTTCATGTTTCGTGTTTCAGTAAAGAAGCTAGGTTTCTTTAAGGGACTCTAGTAACTATAGTAGGGTGCCCAGTCTCTCCCATTGCTCCTTTAGATCCATTTGAAGCAGTTAGAGTGCGCATTTTCTTGGCAGGAGCGCACTCAGGCGCTGGACGACGAGCTCGAGAAGTACTTCGGCAACCCCCAGAAGGATCCCCTTCGTCTCCATGAGTAAGGGCGGCTCGTGGTTACAGGCAATCTTAGCCCTTGAAGAAAAGAAAGATGTAGCAAGGTTCTGGAGGCGCTTTCTGCTATAGTGGCCAGTACTTTATCTGAGCGGCACGTGCCTGAGGATACGCAGGACGCACCTCAAGAACCCCGCGTTGAGCTGTCACCAGAGGAGAAGCAGGCATGGCGCCATGCTAGCAAAAGGGATCGGGCAACAGTTTTCATAAGGATCCAAGGTGGTAAGGGGGCGGGTGTAAGGAGCATTCTTCTCGTCTTAAGGCGAACGAAGGGCTTGTGTAAGCTTCGTTGAGAAATTATGGGCCTACACCTCCCTCCCTTAGGGAGCATGTTCCAAGAGATCTTCAGAAAGCCATGTAACTGGAGGAACTTTTTCGGAAGTTGCGAAAATCATTTCAACGATCAAGAAATTGAACAAGCAATTACTGTTCAACATATGAGTAAGTCTTAGGTCTTGTTGGATAAAGACTGTTCGATTGACGCGGGTGCTCGGGGTTAGTCCCATGTGTCCTCTGCGGGAGGGGGGAGCATGGGTAGAGGCGAGCTCGGCCAAACGCTGTCCGTTTCGCTTGCGTGTGCGAGCGTCAAGCGCCGCGTGTTTGCTTAGAACATGGAGAACACCCTCAACCCTGCTTGTTTGCTACTGTTTGCTGTTGTGCTGCTGGTGCATACTCGTCATGGGTAGGGGAAATCGGTGGGAGGGCGTGGGATTAACACAGCAGTGACAATCCCCACCATGACCCCACGCTTCCTCTTTACAAGGGAGGTCGGAGCTTTGCAGCAACAGTTCTGAAACCTTCAGCTGCCAAGCCCGTCCAAAACCCAATCCAGTCCAAGCCCAAGCTGGAAATGGGTGGCCTACCCATGCCGGACCCTTCCCCAAACCACCAGGGGGCAATCGTAGAAGGCCCCATCTTGACGGATGCATTCGGGGGCTCAAAACTTGAGCAGGTAAGGCTTTCCCGCCAGGACCGCATGGTGGCTGCAATGCTCCTCCGCAGCGCACGCTCCAAGGTTCGCTCATCGCTGGCACATCCAGCCTTCAACCGAAGCTAAGCGTCGCACATAATATGCAGGTTATAGATAGGCACAGGCCTTCAGATCCTTGTCCTTAGACAATGGAGCCAGTGCATTGCAGATGCGTGCTCGTACATGCTGAGGCCAATGCACCTTGAGCAATGCCAGCGGGGTAAGAGATGTCAGAGAAAACTGCCCTGGACGTGTCCCAAGCCCGCATGGCAGGCAGAGCAGGCGGAAGAGAGTGGGCTCACAGCCGCTCGGATGTAGCCAGGAGTTTGAGAAGAGTGGAGGCTTGAAGCAGCCGATGTGGGCATGGCAGGCATACCTCGAAGAGGGCGCTCAACTGAACGGGCGCGTCAACAAGCGCTTGCTGGCGGGGGAGGTCTCTCAAGCTCGGAGCTTCAACAGGAGACTGCAGGGAGGGAGTGATCGGCAGTGCAAGACGCATGCAGACTTCCAACTATCAAGCCTGAAGTGCTCTCCTGCACGGATGTGTGCTGCACCGGCTCAGAGAGCTGCAGGCGGACCGGCATTGAACCTCTTCCTGCCGCAGAGCCGTCCAGCGCCCAGAACGCCATCAGTCTTCATCAGCCTTGAGGGGTTGTTGCCGGAGCTGAATTCGTTATTAAGTTGCTGTCACAAGTACCTGGCAAGGCGTACAGAGAGGTGCAGGTATGCAGTAGACCTCCCTTATCAGCGCGGTTGTCAGCAGCAACGCATCAGTCCAAGGGACTCGGCGCCATTGTCTCTCGAGGAGCGCGAGGCCGTCATCGTAGTTCTTGTGTGGACACGTAGCTGATGCAGCTTTCGTCGGTTTATGTGGGTCCGGTCCGAGCCCGAATATGGATTCTATAGGCGAGCACAAGGTCAAGAACATGTCGTAAAGCAGCATTGCAACAGCCAGCACACGTTGCAGACAAGCAAAACAGCGTCATTGGTGAGGCCAAGGCACTTGAGCAGGAGTACGTCAGAAGTGCGCGTGCCCCTCAGATCGCTGAAGCTTGCGAATGTGCTGCCCCCGGTTGTGCGAATCCCTATCAGCCCTATCAGGCATCAAATGCGTGAGCCGGCGGCGCCTGCTGCCCCCAAAGACACGCCGGCCCCAGCTCGGAAGAAGCAGCGTCGGGGTCAGAGTGAACAGAAACCGCCACGAACAGTTTTGATCCGAGATTGAGCACGCGTGGGTCTCAGAACTCAGGTGTGGGCACGCAGGGGCAGCTCTTGGACTTGGCGCCGCTCCCGAAATTGCCGTTGTTTCATCTGGGGGGCTTCCGAAAAGAGGGGGCCTGTCTTGAAAGCTCCCAAATAGTAGGATTCCCTTGTATAAAAAGGACCCCGAGCAGGTACCCCCAATTTCGGAAACCCCCATTTGTTCCTGAATTATGGAATCCAGGTTGTAACTTGGGATATGTAGAGCATGATTGAAAGCATGCCTAGTTTGTCCGTTGTCAGTGTGGAAGCTTTTGTCGAGGGCACTTGCTGCATTGCAAGTCCCATCTGCCAAGGCTGCCATGGCGGAGGAGGCGGCTAGGCAAGCCGACGAAGATGCGGCCGCCACCTCGGATTTCATGAATGCTCGGAGCGGCTCGGAAGGAAGCGCTTTTTTGCAATTCATGTCGTGGATACGTCGGAAGCGCAAAGTGCGGCAAAGATTCAGGGCTGTTTTGAGGAGTCGGCGAATCCACTTCTCCGACCCCCTCCGAAGCTTGTGAAGCGCAAGGTCGTGGAGATGCGAGTTCGATATACCTGTCACTGACCTTAACTCCGTTTCAACAAATACCTACAACACCTGCTGACTGCTGACAGGCTCCCAGAGCGGCAACTGATGGAGGCAGCAAAGGTTCTTTGTCTGGGGAGCTTTGGCTTGATGCCGCGTGGAGTAGGTGCGCTGCCTAAGCGCGAGTCTCTGGAAGAGCAAGAGCAGGGCCTTTGGCCCAGTTTGGCCCTCAAAACGCGCTCAGTTTGCACTTCTTAGGTCGTTTTTTCCCGCATCGGCAGGCAAAGGCATGCGAGTTCGAGTCGTGAACGAAACCGGCGAGCGGGCCACTTAAGACGCAGAGTATGTTGCAGAGAGGTAGCTTGCACGCTAGTTTCCTAGGCTTGTGGCGGGATAAGTGCTGCAGGCTGAAGACCTACCACTTGCAGACAGGGGTTGTCCGACGCCATTTGGATGGCAAGCAGCTGCAAAGATGAAGTATGCTGACCCGTTCAGCTTTGCCAACAATGTCGTCGCCGTTTGCCTCTTCTGGAGGACGTCACGCTGCAAGAGGTGCCGTGGACGTCGCCTCGGCCTCGCAACTTTTCCACAGCAGCACATGGAAAGAAGGTTTTTTGAACCGCTTGAGATCGTAGTCTCGCTTTGCTCAGGCACTGGATGATTCGGACAGGCGAGGCCCATGCCAATAGCTGCAAGATGCTGCAAGTTACCTTCCGGGACAAGGTGTCCCAGGCATTGTGCGGTGCAGCTTTACCTGCTCTTAGTGGCTCGATTGTGGAGGATGCTGAAGATGGTGCCGCAGTCACAGCTGCAGACATTCGTGTGGCTTGCCTGCATGTTCGCCGACAGCAGTCTTACGAACTGGCCTCGTACCCCACAGCTGCGCACCAGGGTATAGAGCCATCAGTGTCGGGCTAGAAGATTGTCATTCAATGAAATGAATGCCAAATTTGGGTGAGTTCTGGCCTTGTGACTATGCGCCAACCTACAGACGCCAAGGTCCACGACCTGCAGCCGGATCGAAGTGGTGCGGGGTGGGCATCGAGGCGGAGGGAATGCTAAGGGCTGCCAACCACAATGGGGGGTACCCTTTTGGAGGTTCCTACGATAAGCCTACTATTTTATCTATGTTGGGGTGTATTAAGGGTACCCCCTATTTTCGAAATGCCCAAATGGCGAGTAGCCTTTTTTTGCAGGGATCGAAATGTTGCTCGTGATGTGATGTGCAATTCCAGTGCTTCGTGGAACTGGGGGTGCAGTCATCTTGGACGGTCATGGTGTTCATCAGAAGGTGTTATTGCGGAGTTGGTCTCGCAGGACATTAGCCGCCGCCCCGGCACAATCGCAACTGCCAGTCACTGTCGTTGTGGGATTTGAAAGCTTGGCACAGGCCAAAAGCTTGCCACCATCCGCCTGGGCCGTGGCCAAGCACAGAAGGAGTTGGCTACTCAACATGCTGGTTGACTCAGCTTGCCTTGAGTGCTAAGTGCAGCAAAACATGAAGAACATGCTGAGCCCGAGGCTGGTAATCTCCTTGAATGATGTTTGCGAATTCATTT